AAGCAAGCAGGCAAGTTTTCTGACAGATACGTGCGAGGTGGAGGCTCCGTTGCAGTTATCCCACCATATCTCTTCGAAAAGACCCTATACTTGACAGAGAACACGATTTTCATAAGCAGCGTGTTCGAAAACCTCTATGAGCGGAGTTTCCTTTCAAACCAAGGTCATCAAAATTTCGACCAAAGCCCACTGGCGAGCCTCAGAGCATGAAACGAGAAAAAATTGCCCGAAGTTTTCTGAAAACTGGCTCATACGGGTTATCTGACTTGCTGATTACAAAACTCATATCTGCTTAGCAAGATATGAGAATTTCTATTAGGGTTACGACGAGTAGAATTTGGGAAAACAAGATTTTTTTACAATTTAACAGCTCTTCTATCTCCATTAGAAAGACGCCTGTCACTACATTTTAGCGCTCCATAATCTACAGAATAAGTACTATCGAACGGTCCTTGCTGGAGTCTGTTAGGGGAAATCGCGCTGCTTTACACCTTTGTGAAAAGACGACCACCGAGATTTGAAAATACTGAAATCGGAATATCAAGGACATGCCGTATATCGAAAAATTTGCCTTGATGAGCTGAGCACAGTGCTCTTTTCGGATTCAAAATATATTCATTCCGAAGGAATTTACGGCGAGTAGGATTTGGAAACTCATAATTTTTCCGAAATTCACAAACGCTTCTATCTGTTTTGGAAGACAGTCTGCAGCTACTTTTGAACGTACGATAACCTACAAGAACAGTACTATCGAATAGTGCTTACTGAAATCTTTTATATTCACAGACGCTGCGTTATATCCTTGCGAAAGGTCCTCCACAGAAAAAAATTCGAGAAAACTAAAAACGAAATACCGAGGGCATGCCCTATATCAAAAGATTTGCCTCGACGAGCTAAACACAATGCTGCTTTCGGAATCAGAATATATTTCACGAAGGAAGTTATGGCGTTGCGTATTCTGCGTGATTCGCATGGTTTCGCGGATCCTGAAATGTCGCGAACTTCCCGGATTATCGCGCACTCTGGCGGAATTCCCGGAATTCCGCGGAAGTTCACGGAATTTTGCACATTCTATGAGCGGTATTGTGATCTTGGGCCGATTTTAGAGCAAATTCGAACAGAGTGACTCTCTACCATACTCCTACAGAATATCTACTTCGTGTCATTAGCGAGAAATCAATGGCATTATTGTTATCAGCACAATGAACAATCCAACCAAACAAAAATCTGCGAAATTAAGCGAAAATTTATTGTCTACCGTATACCTATCTACCCTGCAGACTGTGGCACTTCTATATACTAGATAATGCTCTCGCAGAGCTGAATCAAAGAGTGTCCTCGAATTCGGAATTCGTCCATTCTGAAGCGAGATACGGCGATGCGAACGCGGATTCCGACGGACTCTAGTGGAGTGTGGCGCACTCTGCCGCACTCCGGCGCACTGCAGCGCACTCCGGCGGACTTCAGTGCAGTGTGGCGCACTCTGCCGCACTCCGGCGCGGGTGGGGGAACGAAAGCCGCCAGGTCCAGCCGCCTTTCGCGGTCAGCTGGTCCTTTCGCAGCGTTGTTGCATGTCGTTCCAGGACCAGCAGTCCGCGGAGGCGGCTGGACCTGGCGGCATTCGTTCCCCCACCCCTCCGGCGCACTGCAGAGCACTCCGGCGCACTGCGGAGCACTCCGGCGAATTTTTGACAAACTGTGAGCGGTATCGTATTTGTGGCCCTAGTTCAAAGTTGTTGGCCATAAATAGGGCCATTGGACTGATGATATTCATCGAGAAGCGTATTCACCGAATCCATAAATAGTGCTAATTGTACGCATGACGTACATAGCGGTAATGCTTCGGACCTCGCGATGGGTGACGACGAGTGATCCAAAGGTGCCTGTAAACATGTTTTCTTTGATCTTTTTGCATCTCCTTTTCGTACTTTCTTTCCCTTCATGAGGCAAAACTTTACAAAGCTCAAAAATGAAAGGGGTCCTATGTCAGATTAGTGATGTAGGGAGAGAAACAGCTCCCGCTATCGCACGGCGTATTAAAGCAATCAAAAGTAATAGGTTTTCGATGGAATATTCAATTATCCATAATGCAGTTCTCTTCTTATTCAGAGATTTCTTGCATGATAACTTGCCAGGCAAGAACTAATTTGATACTGTTCAGGTTTCCTATATGAAATAGAGTTGATGACCCTGCTCTAATCTTTCCATCTCATCTCTTCCGTATGACATCAATCATTTGGTGAGCCGTCAAATTTGTGAAGGACGAAAAAGGGCATTTTAATCCATAGCAACCCATAAAGCGACTGTGAAAGTTAACAGATCGTAGTTTGCTAAGCAATCATTACAAGGTGTTCCAAAAGCCTTTGAGCCTAGTATTCCTTTAACTATAAGTTTACAAAACAACATGGGTATTTGAATTAGAGCACGTAGTTTGTGAAGAATCTACAAAATAACAACGTACACTCAGATTTTGAGAAATGCTTCTTTGGCCTTCACATAGGCCCTCAGACGCACGTGGTAATCATGTATCGCGGCGGATAGTAGTTAACGTCGAGATAAACACCTTCTAAAGCAAGCTTCCCAGGCTGCCCAGAATTTAGTGAATAGAGCAAGCCTTGCTTTTTATGACTTATCACAAAGAAAAGTCATGGGCTCTTTACCCGGAGGCTGAAAGCACGACAGTCTGACAAGTTTATATGTGATTAGCAAAACCGTCAAATGTAGCTGTAAAATGTAGCTATCAAGTTCTTAAGAATATTAAGAAATCCTAAATTTGGCATACTCGGAAATTTATAATAATATTTCGGTAAAATATGCAGGTCTTACAGCTTAAATTAGCGACTCGAATAAATGTAGAGAAAAGCTAGCTCTACAATCTGTCGCAATCTACAATCTCTATCGCAAAAGCTTAAAAGGCAAAGAGCTATTTCTGTTTGAATGATGGGCACGTATCCACTGACTTGATCTCAAATAGTAGTAAGATTCGCCTGTAGGAACAATTTCTTGAGAGTGTAAAATGCAAACAGTATGATTTTTTGTGGGATTATCAACAGTTAACAAAGGATCATGTACGCAAAATTTGCTATCTCAGGAAACTAGGCTCAAATTCTTTTGTGAGAGGATTAATAAAGGCAGGAGTGAGAGTCTGCAGCGCAGCTCCATTCGAAGTATATGAGAGAGGTAGTGGTGTAGATGGGGGTCCAAAAAATGCTAAGACATTTGAAGATATTCTTCTGTCAATTCGTTGCGTTCTTCTCTATCTTCTTATACAGGCCGTAGAACATAGGTGTTTAAACAAACCAACTCACTTTGTTTTGACAAACCAACTCAATTTGTCTTACATATCCAAGATCCTATAGCAACTCATCTTGACTATGCTGAATAAGAACTGAATCAATGGCTCAAAATATAAGTTTGCAAAATATGCTATCAAGAGTACGGGTACCAGTAATGGAGTTGTTGAAGTAGGTCTCAAAAAGAGAGTATGATTTGTTACACCAAACATTTGTTTCATATAAATGGGACTAGAAACAGAATGAATGGTCAATGAGAGCGGAGGATGAGCGTAGGTTGGGTTGGGCAATGAAATGGGAGAATCACTAATCTAGTTTATTTTCTTTGTGTGGTATGTTTGGGCTCTCTTGTGCCTTTACTATGTTTTCTCATTTGATTTTTTGATGCCATCATGTGAACTACTGATAATCGCTTTTTCAACCCAGAGTTGGCAGGAAGGCCACGCATCCGGTCCTGTTCAAGCCACGGAACCAGAATGCGAGTATTATGGATCGCATACTGTTACCCACGTACATTTTGAACTGAAGATCAATCTGCCAATGAGAGAAGTTTGCAGATTAATTTTCTTTCTTCCATAAGCTTCTTCCATAAAATTAAGAATTATGATTTGTCAGGTACAGCTGGTTCTAATTTTGTAGTCTTAATCATGTTATAAGTCATCGCTCTGAAAATTAAAAATGTACTCTCATTCGAATTCTCCAGAACTAGATCTGATTATTCAAATCAGTAAAGACTATGTCAAAAAAGTTACATTCTTTGCTATGATATTTTCACTGTTGCGTGTGCTGTAAGGGACCGTACAGTGGCATATGCGAATTCTCGTGTCAAAAGTACTTGTAAGCCATTTTAATTAAAACGTTGGTTTTGCATTCTAGAACGACAAGCGGAATATGTTATGTAAATGCGTTTATTGCTTCGCAACAGCTCACAGAAATCTCACTTTTAACCTCATCTCCAATTTAGCTAAAATTCAATTACATATTGGGTAACTTGACCGATTTTATAATTCCTCTTTCTTTGCTCTCGACTCGTTCCTTTCGGAAGAAAATAATCTAATAAAGTCATTTAGAACAAGTAGATGTGCTGCCATCAAAAAATGAGCCAAAGTGCGGCCTTACAAATTTTGAAAGGAAGAGCACTTTTCATGAGAATGGAAAATACTTTTTCTCTCCATAACTCTCGACAACGATGAACGTGAAGAATACGATTGTGACACTTGTGAGAAATTGAAATGGACTCCATACTGGAGGGCAGTCTTTTTGCTTAGATCAACATAACCTGCAATCTAATCGAATTCACAAGGAAAATCCTCAGTTCAACAAAATAAACTTTGAGGAATTAGACTATTAAAGCAAACGCGGCATGCAAGTTCAAAGTTGAAAATTTCTCTGAACGACCTTCATTGACAATCACAGACTGGTGCACGTTTGATTTTTCGCTAGTTAGTTGCAAGTTTCAAGGTTGTTGTTCATGTCATAACAAATTCGGAAGGTTGCGTACGCTCCACTTTTGAGTAATCTCTAGGTTCCACTTGAAATTTATCAATCAAAGATGGCCGTCGGTATGAAGAACATTCGAATAACGATTGAGATCGTCTCAATATTGTTTTTGTTGATGACCGAAATCACAAATGGTTTCAAACTACATGAGAGCACGTAGAGAAGAAACGTTATATATAAATAGCATCATTCGAGCGTCTGCTGACGATGCTGCGGTTGTTTTTATTCACATTACTATTCGCTAGTGCACTATGCATGACAAACTTCATGGGCTTGTAAGCATTTGCCTTCACATTTTTTCTGATAGTCCATTCAGTCAAATCAATCGTATTTAGGGCACTGCCGTCACTTGAAGAGTGGCTCAAAGGTGCTCCCATAATAGGTCCAGCAGCTCCAGAAGGAGGTGGAGGAGCAGAAGCAGGAGGAGCAGTAGGAGCAGCAGGAGGGGGCTGCTGTTGTTGTGCTCCTGCTGCAGCGCCACCTCCTCCGCCTCCACCTTCGCCTTCAGCTGGAGGATGTTGTTGCTGTTGTCCATGTGCACCTGCTCCGGTTCCAGCTCCTCCGCCTCCACCACCACCACCTCCACCACCACCTCCCCCACCACCACCTCCACCACCTCCACCACCTCCACCACCTCCACCTCCACCGCCACTTCCGGTACCAGTAGCACCCGCAGCACAACCAACGATTTATGTAGTTGTGCCGAAAGTGATTTATGCACCTGCACCAGCACCCGCGGCACCACCCCCACCACGTCCACCCCCACCCCCATCTCCACCTCCGCCACCGCCAGCGCCAGTGCCAACTCCCGATTGTGGAGGACCCATACCTTCTTGCACTGCAAGTGAAGGAAATGGTGCAGTGTCAGCGCCGGTCAGCGATTCAGCAACAGAGGAATCAAGCGCGGGTAAAGGTGGATATCGTGTCTTCTCAAATAGAAGGAGATATTCTAAGAAACACACAAGATTTCCAAAAAAGAAGATTATATTTCGTGATGTTCGGACACGATCATAAGTTTTGATTAAGGTTATATTTTTGTACAGTTGACAACGTAGAACATTCCTTCATTCTTACAGGTACATTTTTTTGTCTCAAATAAAGTTCAAATAATTTTCTCTATTTTCTCATTTACATATTGGTTTTGATGCATATTTCCTTCTCAAATAAAAGTTTATTTCATTATTTGTCAAACGACGTTTACTAGAACACCTACGTAGACTACAATATTCCTGAAGTGCGAGATAGATTACTCTATGCGGTGAAATACAGACATACATACACTGTGAGAAAGCTAGGAATGACAAATGCAATAATAAAATGAAACGTACAATGATCATAGTGCAGAATATGACGACAATCAAAATAGTGTAGAGAAAGAGGGCGTTCGCTGGTGTGTAATCAAACAAATATACAGATAAGTAGCTCTGTGCGACGTTGTCAATGGACGATAACACGAAAACGAATAAACGATGCCGCACTCCGGCGGAGTCCGCCGCAGTCCAGCGACTTTTTTCACGCGTATGAGCGGTATTGTATACTAGGCTGGTGCAAAAGTTTTGTCATTTTGCATTGACTCGCAAATTCCGTAAAGTAAAGGTAAACCAACACTCCAAGGTGTATCCAATGCAGAATTTCTTTGCCTTCCAGTGCTATATTTCTCATTGTGACTTAGGAAAGCAAGCAGGCAGGTTTTCCGACAGATACGTGAGAGGTGGAGGCGAACTTACGAGCTTTCGTGAATCCGTTGCAGTCATCTCACCATATCTCTGCAAAAAGACCCTATACTTGACAGAGAACACGATTTTCATGAACAGCGTGTTCGAAAACCTCTATGAGCGGAGTTTCCTTTCAAACCAAGGTCATCAAAATTTCGACCAAAGCCCACTGGCGAGCCTCAGAGCATGAAGCGAGAAAAAATTGCCCGAAGTTTTCTGAAAACTGGCTCATAGGGGTTATCTGACTTGCTGATTACAAAACTCATATCTGCTTAGCAAGATAGCTTTCTATTAGGGTTAAGACGAGTAGAATTTGGGACAACAAGATTTCCTTACGACTTACCAGCCTTTCTACCTCCATTGAAAAGATGCCTGTGACTACTTTTTAGCGCTACGTAATCTACAGAAAAAGTACTATCGAAAGGTCCTTGCTGGAGTCTATTAGGGGCAATGCGCGCTGCTTTACACATTCGCGAAAAGACGTCTACAGAAAGATTTGAGAATTTTGAAATCGGAATATCAAGGATATGCTGTATATCGAAAGACTTTCCTTGATGAGCTGAGCACAAAGTTTTCTTCGGATTCAGAATATGTTCATTCCGAAGGAAGTACGGCGAGTAGAATTTAGAAACGCGTGATTTTTCCAAAATTCACACACGCTTCTATCTCTTTTGGAAAACACTCTGCAGCTACTCTTGAACGCATGATAACCTACAAGGACAGTACTATCGAACGGTGCCTACTGGAATCTTTTATGTTACACAGACGCTTCGTTACATCCTTGCGAAAGGACCTCCAAAGAAAAAATTCGAAGAAACTGGAAACGGAATATCGAGAGCATACGCATACTGTATATCAAAATATTTGCCTCGACGATCTGCACACAATTCGAAGCTTCTGGATTCGGAATATATTCATTCCGAAGGAAGTTATGGCGTTGCGTATTCTGCGTGATTCGCATGGTTTCGCGGATCCTGAAATGTCGCGAACTTCCCGGATTATCGCGCACTCTGGCGGAAATCCCGGAATCCCGCGAAGTTCACGGAAATCTTGACATTCTGTGAGCGGTATTGTGATCTTGAGCAGATCTTAGAACAAATTCGATCAGAGTGGCTCTCTACCATACTCCTATAGTACGCTGTCTATGTGTCATCAGCGACAGATCAATGGTAATAATGTTATCAGCACACTGAATTCAACCAAAATAATAATCGATAATTCTGCAAACTAATATTGCATTCGGAATCCCCATGCTCACTTACCCCCTGTGCCAACTCCCGGCCCCGTAGGTGAACTCTGCAAAACAATTGATAAAAATCGATAAAATCGACATCGATCGATGATGAGAAGTAGCCTATGACACCCGCCGGGGCCCGAAGTGTATGTGTGTGCCAAGTTTGGTCCGGATCGGTTCAGAAATGGAGTTTTCTATTCGGAACATACACACAAACAGAGATACAGACAGACAGACAGACATACAAACAGACGTTCAGCTTCATACGTAGGATGATGCGTTTCGCCGTGCTGAATTGAACTATGTCCTCGGATTCAGAATTCGTCTATTCTGAAGCGAGATATGGCGCTGTAACGATCATTCCGACGGACTCTAGTGGAGTGTGGCGCACTCTGCCGCACTCCGGCGGAGTCCATCGCAGTCCGGCGACTTTTTTGACGAATTATGAGCGGTATTGTACTCACCTGCTATCAACAAGTCGGCACATGACTGACATGCTCTAACGTGTTCCTTCAATCATGTTCAGAAATCGAAGATATAGGGTGGCCAGTCAAATAATGTATTTTTTCCACGACTTTTCACTTTTTGCTGGAGTCAGACTCAAATTTAGCGAGTTCAACGCGAGCTACACATCCACACAAGCTTGATTTCTGACAACAAAACAGGAATTTTTAATTTCCGAATGGTGGATCAGTTTCACAGGTCTAGAGCAAAATGAAGGCAAAACTTATGTATATGAAAAAGCAAAAAAATTGATATTTGTGCCAAAATGATTCTCCAGTTTTCTCTCATTACAGTAATTTTGTGGATTTCATGCTTAGTTGTTATGGGAAATCTACATTGAAACTCCAACTTCCGCTTACGGAGCGCGAACAATGCTACTCCAAGCACATTCCTGCGATCGCATTGTTTAAAGGGAAATGATACGCGATCCGTTCAAAAGGTGTGTTCTCACTCCTCGGCATCATATCCAATTCGATCCGGGTTCAACACGATCTTTAGTGAGTTTGATTCCTCCATTCGGTTTGTTGTCACATATAGCTTACGGGTATCCATTTCATAGTTTGAATTTTAGACATGCTTCCTACACTTTTCCTCCTCTCTTTGCTATCCTTGGCAAATGCTCTCTTCTTCGGTTGTGGATGCAGGTATGTATAAAATACATTCTTGACGAGAATTCTATTCATTTCATCTTAAACAACAAATTAAACGAAAACAGAACATAATCAAGTGTTTCTAGAAAGTTTTGCTATATCATTTATGCCTCACAATATTGGGACGCAAGTTAAGTATGGTTATACCAGGTGTCCCAAAAACTTGTAGTGAACGTTTGATCTTTGGGAACTTTCTTGTACAGAAAGCTTTCGCCTTTCTTCAAACATTATGCTGTAGAACTGACTTCAACGTAGAGTCATAGTCATACCTTCGATACATAGAGCCATATACTCTGGTAACCTTCACTTTGAGCGTCATGATAGAACACAACCTTCACCTGGGGAGAAGTACAGAAGTCGTCCGGGGCGAAGCCCCGGAAATTATGACATAACTAATGACATAACCGTATAGGGATGAATTTAAATGAGGCATTTATAGCAGTGACATTCAAAAGAAGCTCAAAAAAAACCGAAGGATTGCGTTTTTGTGGCCTTTTTTGTTGAGAAGAAGGTTTTTATTTGAAAATTTTATCAAAAACTAGGGCAAAATTTCTCAGTTAACCTTCCTCTGAACTGCGGTTGAATGTTGGAAGTTCAATAAAGCCGCTAAAGTTCAATAAAAACGAAAAACTGCGCTCAAATCTTGCGCAAAGAGTCGCCATATGAATGCTGGTCTATCTCGTTATGGAGTGATTTTCAAGACCCGCGACGTTGTCAGTGCTCCTGGCCGTCTCACGAGGATCACAACGATATATAAATTTGCAGGGTTTTGTTGAGACCCTGCGAAGATCCACGACCAGAGCCAAATGCCCCGTCGGCTCTGGTCTGTCTCCGCTGCTCGTCTGCGTCTCCGCGCGCTGCGCGCTACCTCGCTACCTCAAATGCGGGGCGCGGGGCATTTGGCTCTGGTACCCTTTTCTTCGTTGTTCGGAGCCCAATTTCGATAATCTATATATCATATTAAAGCTCTTGATCTCTATTTACACGCTGACAACGTCGCGGGACTTCTTTTTAGAATTTAAACGAGAAATCCTCGGATAACGGCGTTTTCGAAAACCTCTTGTTTTTTCTTTAGTTTAACTTTTTTCACTCGGTTTTTTTGTGCATTCGATAGGTCTTGTTTCTGTCTATGATGTAGACAACGTCGCCGAGCTTTCTTCTTTGCTTATGCCGGTTTTTTTTGTGAAAAATACAAAAAAGTGCGTTTTTCTTTACCTTGTTCTCTTTCTGTGCTTTTGCAGCGAATTTTTTCCAGCTTGGACGATACTTGCTCAGAATGATGAGCGGAAGAATCCAGACAACGTCGCAGTGTACGAAACGATTACGCGGGGGTGAAAATTTAGAGGATGCATCAAAAATCAGATTGGCGTCGATGTGCAACACAACTTTACAGACATGTTTAACATGTTCAATTCAGTTGTTGACAAGTTCTTCTTCTTTCTATCTCCCAACTAACGCCGCAGCTAAACAGCGCTTTTTTTGACTGGAAAAGAAGTTTGTTGTTGTTGCCACCCAATTTTACCGGCAATCCTGGAGACGAAACTCTGCGTAGGAAACCACCAAGTTAAGGTTTCAGATTTGGTGATGTGCTAACCTCTGCTTTATATGAATTTTCTAAGTTTTCTAATTTAATTTGTATCTCTAAATTTTCGTCTATTTTTCTGAAACAACCTTCACTTTTTATAGGGGGCAAGAACTCAAACAACTATCACTTTCTAGCCCTTGTCTCTTGACTATCGAAGGTATGGTCATAGTATGGAGCGAATCAATGCTTTTCTTTGCTGTAAGATTACGGTAGGAATTCTGGAAAGGGTTTTGAGCCATTGTAGGCCCCAATCCGCCTCAGAAATCGAATTTAACAACCTAAACTCTTATATCGGCTAATCAGAGCCGCTGACGCCAAATATGAACTTCGCACTTTACCAGTGTTTCGTTCATAAATTATGCTACGTAAATCACTATAGGCGTTTTTACAGTGCTCTGTAAATGAGATTACCCCATCAGAAAATTTGAAACTGTAAATGTAATAATAAAATTAGCGATCGTGAAAACCATGATACACTATTTTCCAGATTTTTTGGAAAATCATTTGAAACACGACTGATTCACAATAGAGCTGTAAGCTAAAAGTTCCTACCGTAATCTTACAGTAATGAAGAAGTCGGTGATTTGTTCTGTACTATAAAGCTATTTTAAACCAGCTCTACAACAAGGTGTTCAAAAATAGGCGAAATCTTTTTATACAAAAAAGTTTTCAAAGAACAAATACTCGATACATTATGTTGAAACACCCCGTAGTTAGAAAAGAAAATCCGCTGGAAAGATTAACCAGTCTTCAAATTACGAGAAGGATTACAGATTTTTTATATATACATGTCCCTCATAAGAAATTAGTCTTCAACCTCAAAAAATTTCTGCTTTTCAGAACAAATCTTCAGAACTGTCTTCATATTGGTGCTTACATTTCGAAAACCCAGAAAGACGTAGAATAGAAATGAGTTAATTTTTAACAATAAAAAAAGACATCAAAGTGCCGTATCAGAATTGCCTTTACATATACTGTGACTCATTCGGTAAAGATAAAAATAATTCCAGAAAGCTCTTTGTCCCTTCGATTATGCCATATATGGGACGTTCAAATTCGTCAAAACTTTCCAGAAAAAAGAAACACAAGGCTTATCTTAGTAGCTAATAGTTGCTCTTTGTATGACTATATTGAATTTGTATCAAGACGAACACGGCTACCACTGTACACTTCCTTACGCTTCTTGAACTGAAGAAAATATTTTTACCGTCCATTTATTTGAGCTCCTGCCCATGCGGATCGAGTTCGTACGGATACGGAAGTGGAAGTTATGGCTACAGTGGATACAGTAACTATCAGCCATCATATGCCTCCTATGCATCTTCCTATCCATCCGGTTCTTACTTTTCACCCTACGGATCCGGTCAGATCTCCGGTTATATCCTGAGACCAGTCGGGCCCATTCAGAGCAATGGAGGATATGCCGTACCTGGTGGTTATAATGAAGGTAGGTGCTCACAAACAAGAAGAAGTGTTAATCAACTAAAAAATTATACTTGTAGGCCAAGGATTTCCAGTTGTTCATCATAGGTTTGGACAAATTGGGTGAGTTTCTTTTTCATAAATCTAACCACTTGCTCCCCTTATAAAACCTCTGATTCGACAACCGCTCTAGATTTGCTCAAACACCCTATGGGGCGCCTACCAATGGACCTCACTACTGGCAACCATCTACAGGAGCACCATATGAAAGAGTACTCGTAGGAGGGAGACTGCGCATGTTATAGTGAATGAATGACTGTACCACTAATAATGATGAGCTTTTATTCAAATAAATAAATATTTTCTTAAAGATTATGGATTCCTTCAACCGATTAATGAACAGTAATTTTGAAGTGACACAACAGGCAATTAGTGGCGCACGATCTAGAACAGTACTCAGGTTCTAACAATAAGACGTACTTGGCTAGCAAGGAGGACTGGAGAGAGACCTAACACAATGACAATGTCCCGCTTTTAACAATGGCATCGTATAATGCTCGTCAAATGAAGATTTTGGACGCCAATGGAGAAATCTTGCTTGTATAATTTTGCAAGAGTCATTCTGACCAACAATGGTAAAACAAAAAGTCAGGCAAGTGGCTAGAAGTTGTATGGTCACAGCAGTTTTTGTGCGAACACATGAAATCTCATAGAACTTTTCCATTATAAAAAGATGATTGACCATCTTCCAGATCCAGAGCAAAAATTAACTTTGAAAAGAATTTGAATGAGTATGAATGAGAGGCTCAAAAGGAAAGGCTTAACAAGTGCGCTACCCAACCTTCATTCATTCTGTTTTTTTTTCGTGTGTGATGTTGGAACTAATATCCTTTTCTTGCTTTTAATCCATTAACGATAGCTGCGGACACTGGTTTCGAAGAATCCTTTCAGTGCAGGAATTATCTTCAAATCAAGAAGATACTAGTAAATTTTAATTCATTCTGCTCGTAATTTTTGATTCCTTCTTTTCTCTTCTTATAATTTATCATTTATAGATGTTGCGTCAACCTTGTCGTAAGCTGCGAGAGATGTAATGTTTTTAGTCCAAAAGGACATTATACAAATCATTTTCACTTTTTTCAGACACAGATTGAACTGATGCTGAAACACTCACACTATATGGAATGGAAAGGAATGGTGACTGCCACTATTGATCCTATATAAACAACCCCTACTCCTCAAGAAAATTGCAAGCAGTGCGAACTTTTCAAGCAAAACTTTATTATTTGGAATCGTACATAATCACGGTTTTCATTCAAATATACTAATTATTCCAATCAGCACCGAAACTGAACAATCTTTCCAGCTTCAATTCTCTCTTCGTTATAAGCCTCTGCTCGTGATGCCTTCAGTCGTGCTGATTTTTCGCTGCTCAACTGAGTGGCATCTCTTGGACGATTTACTACAACCATAATCACAACAATGATGACAATATATGCTACCATGACCAGTATAATCAGGATAAAGAAAAAATTGCTGAAAAGTGGAAGAAAGTTTTTTTAATGCTAAAATTTTTATCATCGTCTCACTTATCCTCGTTTTGAAAGTGCTTGAGTCTGCTGTGTTTATTTCTTGGAAGTTGTTCTACCTAAAAACTTATTATTAGTAAGGTATTTCCTATTGGATAAAAAACACTGAATTTTGAAAAAAAAACACCTCATTGATAGAAATATTGTCGAAATAGTCGTCGAAACTTTGATGCGTGTTTATTTTTAGCTCTGGATTTTCCAGTTATGTGCTAAGTTCGTCCAACCTCCAATGAAAGAAAAGTCTTAAAATTTACCCAGATTAGCTAGAAGGCATTTCAGCAGTTGTATGCAATCAGCCATGGTCATATCAGAATTGTTGCAAAAAGAAACATCTGCTGGACCTTTGAGGTTTTCTCCTATTATGGTCTGGAAGGTCTATCAATATTTTATTCGATTTTTAGGAATTTCAAGCACCTTTACATTAGCCATTCTATTGCAGAGGTCTTCTCTACAGCTGCATGTAATCGTATGGTTCATTACCACACATTTTGGTGTCTGGAGGTTTTCGAAAAATTTTGTGGAAACCACATTGAAGATAATCTTACAAGGCTATTCGGCACTACATCCGTTCCAAAATAAAATGGACCTGCAGACTTGCAACCGTTCTCGATGTGTTGAGAAAATGTGCACACCTCGTGATTTTGCTGGAAAAAATGGTTAAGTAATTTTCTTCAAAAACCATAATGATTTTGTACCCTGGAAACAATTTGGTCATCTCTTCGACAAAAATATGCATGAATACTGTGAAGTTTGACTATGAAGACGCTTATTGTCGTTACAGCAGTTAAAGTTACTTCTGCAACAAAAACTGATTATGTTGGAGTTAATAGAAAAAACGAACTTTCGAGATTTCCTTCACAATTCAGCGCTGAAGCTATATAATAACTAATTTAGAATTCGTACTTCAAGGCCGGACCGAAACGATGGCTGAGTTTTGAAGAGCTGATGTACCATTGCCTCTCTCACGAAGAAATGACATGAATACTAGCTTACTCATCATGCTCACAGTTCTATAGCACATAAGAAAGAAAAATGAATATTCCTGTTTATCAATCGTAAGACCACTACTATTGTTGACGTGGTTCTGATGAAGCCTGTAGTATTCATTTGTCTATTTTATTACTCAAGACGTGGTAGTTGGCTAAGAAGCATACCGAAAACGAAAGTGAGTACCTAGCGTAGTCGTGCTCACATTCACGATGTACATCCAAGTAATCAGTTTCTGGCCCCGGACAGACTTCACGCGATTTGGTCGTCGCGACTGAATCGCGACGAGACAACTGCTACAACATCATTCCATGCCGATCAACTTGCATTTCGGTTGTGATACTTTTCCAGCCCAAAATTTTTGAATGTGAAATGAAAATGAATGGAAATGTCGGCGATTGAGTCGCGACGATCAGATCGCGTGAAGTCTGTCCGGGGCCTTTGGATGTTCATGGTTTCTCTCCAGTAGATGGAGTTTAAGTAGGATTTACAAATCTGTTTTACATTTCGTCCCGAACCATAAAATATTACTTTCAGGATGTCTCAGAACAGAAACTAGTTGCTTTTGCTCAAGCTTTCAGATCACGCTAGATTTGCTCTTTTAATTTGTTTCTTCGTCATAACTAGGGTGCTAGGACAGCGTCCAAGTTGTTTGATTACCGCACCGTGCCAGCGTCGTGTCAGCGTCGTGTCAGCGTCGTGCAGCATTCACCACACGCGTCCAGCACTCATCGACGAGTTCCTGTATGGCACTGCGGCTCGCAAACGGAACTAGCATAAAGGCCGATGTGCCCCATTTCTTGACTGTATCCTAGACGGGATTGCGCTGTATCAGATCGTTCGTAAACGCTGAACCTACAAATTGTGCACTCAACTAAACTCTTAATGAAACAATGGTTATATGCATCTCACCCCTTGCCTTACAATAACTCCTAAGAATGAACTTGTGTTTTGAGAGCGTGATAACATATTTCTCCTGTAATGGAAGGATCATTTGCATGGGCATCTTTGTGAGCGGTGATTGAAGCTTAGGGTTCAAAAATCTAGCGAATGGCGTCAATCAGGGATGGAGGACTATATGTCGCCGGAAGCGGGTGGCCAACGCGGACATCTGCGACAGATCGCGTAGCTCCCCACATTACAGCGTAGAGATTTGTATCAGCTGCCAGCGCGGGGTGGAGCTGAACGGCGATATATAGTCCTCCACCCTCAATGAGGCACTAATTTAGCTTACAATGCTGCTAAAGAAAGTTAAAAAGCACCTACATTTGGGACTTCAGAGGAATTTCTATATTGGGGGGGGGGGAGGCGGGAACAAAGAGGCAAAGAGGATAGAACCAATAAGCTGAATTCTCCACGACGTCTTGCAACTATTACATCAATACTCACATCCTTTAAACAAGAGATTGCAACAGAAAGTGAAAATGTCTCATCGGCGACCATTCGATGAAGTTCAGATTCCAGATAAATGTGTTCTGTTACAGTCATGGAACCTACTCAGCTGATCATTAACCTTCTCAGTGTCGGCTTACCTGATAAAGGACTTACAAAAACAGTATCCGAAAACGTTATCATGGAGACTCTAAGTAATTTTCACAAAATATCATTATGACGATAAACACTAGATTGAACATTTTAGTCAAAGCACGTGAACTCTTTCTGGCTCAACCATCTATGGTAGAACTCGACTCACCTGTGAAAATATGCGGAGACACACATGGACAATATCCTGACCTGCTGCGAATATTCAACAAGGTAGGGAATCGTTTTTATATCAGGTAGCATCAAGTTGTCCGTGCCACCGCCGTGCTGGCGCCGTGCCGAAACGTCCATCGACAGTACGCGGCACGTCTTTGTGGGTCCTGGCACGAACTGGCGGGCCGCCTACACATAGCCAACTCTAGATGCTGCTTTATGTTGACTCATTTTAGGGCGGATTTCCTCCTCTCTCAAACTATCTGTTCTTGGGGGATTACGTAGACCGAGGGAAGCAGAACTTAGAAGTCATTTTGTTAGTCATTGCTTACAAGGTTGGTTCCTGAAGTTTGTTACGTGTCGGGTTCGCTTACTGTATGTTACAGTTACGGTATCCCAAAAATTTCTTCATATTGCGTGGAAATCATGAATGCGCAAATGTGAATCGTACTTATGGCTTTTATGATGAGTGCATGAGAAGATATCAGAGTCAGAGGATGTGGCAGTCATTCCAGGTGGAAAGATATCTTACAATTAGATAGCATGGATAAGCTTATAAGAAGGTTTTAGGACACATTCTGCGTTTTGCCTTTAACTGCTCTAGTCGGTGATAAGATCCTTTGCATGCATGGTGGACTATCTCCACACTTGGAGTCGCTTGATCAACTACGTACTGTTCCAAGGTATATTTTGCATGAAGCAAAATGCGAAAAAAGATAGCGTCTTTCTTTAGACCAACGGATGCGACTGGAAATACATTGGAAATGGATTTGCTGTGGGCGGACCCGGTCATTGGTCTTAGCGGATTTCAGGTGAACCAACTCTTTTAGGTATTGTTTTGAAGTTTCGAGCATACTCTAAAACCTATGGGATGGAAAACTTTAGAGAGATTTCTTCGAGTTGAAACAGAAAATGACCGGTTCAGCTAAGACAAAAAATCACAGGAATTCCTTAGTAATTCTAATTCAATAAATAATTCTGCGTACGACGCAGCTCAAAGGTAGTGTCCCGGCAGATTTTGCATTTCCTTCTTTTCGCGTGTTTTGGGCCTTTTCGACCCGTAGATTCCGAATTTGAGCTTTGAAACGGATGAAAAGACCTTTTTCGGGACGTTTACCCAATTTTCAAAAGGCAGCTCGGACGAGAATTTCGATGGGAAGTTGAGAGGCCCTGGCACGAAGACCCTAGTGACTGTAATTTTTACTTTGGATAGCACGCAAATGCGGGAGAGAGATCGTGGGCTCCCGCGCCGAACGGTAAGTGAAGTCGTCCGAGCGGCGCCGATTGGGCACGCACTGGTTCAAGGGCTTTCCTCGTCCCAGGAAGAATGTCAACTAGCCGAACTGCCGCTGGAGCTCAGTGGGATGGCCAGGAACCCCATCATAGCAAACCCCAGAGTGCGAATCTGCCGGACACTGCCTTCAACTTCGATACTTTGAAAATACCTTCAAATTTGAATATGATGGATAGACGTAGAGTTTTAGCGTTTATGAATCACTGCCGTCATCTTCAAGTCCTGTCATACCTTCAAAGGTGAAAAATTTAGCCCCATAAACTTTTATGGTATTTTAGGCGAATATGCGCGGTGCATCTGTCGGTTTTGGGCCGGATATACTAGCCAAATACTGCAACATGCTAAATATCGACTTGGTAAATGCGAAAATTTTCATCCAACATTATCACTGAATTCTTCTAACATGCAGGTTGCTCGGGCTCATCAGGTAGTTCAAGATGGTTATGAATTTTTTGGAGGAAGGAAACTAGTGGTAAAAAGATTCTTATAAGAATTTGCTTTCTCTTCTTCAGCGATGGAATTCAGACGATCTTCTCCGCACCTCACTATTGTGGACAATTCGATAATGCCGCTGCAATGATGACCGTGGATGAAAACCTCCAGGTGCTTGAATTAGTTAATTGCATTTTGAATTGAATATGGAACTTGAATTCTGCACTGAATATTCCAGTGTTCTTTCGAAATTCTCCGCCCTTCAGTGGGAAAACCGCAACCTAAAGTTGTACCAACTACAATGGGATCTCCTGGTGCAGCAGCATGTCCATAGATGCACGCTTTTGTTAGTAAATTCTCTATGGCTGCATAAATGACTTACATATTGGACTTATATCCGTCTTGCCTTCTTGAAGTTTCCTCGTTGAATTTCCTTCTCTAGCAAAGCATTGGAATCAGTGTCTTGAAAGTAGCAGAAAAATGTTAGCGCCAAGTCAAATAAACACCACATAAAAAAGGAAGACTATATTTACATTTCTTCTGAAAAAAATGTGGAGTATCTAGGCCTGAAGAGTTTTTACACAATTAACAATTTTCTTCTGTAGAATGCATGTGTTCCTCTGAGGGCATACCAAGAAGGTTCAACGAATACAAGGTTGATTAGTAGTTTCTGCCAGTATCTAAGCTACTCATGACTGTTTCGACTCCAAAAATGTCGTTTACAAAACTGCAAGGAATCAGGTGTATGTCGAAAAGCGCGCGGTCCAGAAATCATACTACCGAACTAATTTATACTCCACAAAAACAAGTTTTATGTCCGAATGCGAACTTATCAGCGGTTAGAGCAAAAGCCCTTCTTCCTGTTAATATTGTGAAAAAACTACAAATTTTAAGGAATGCAAGCTCATTAAGGTGGATTGAACTATAGATTTTAGGGTTGCTGCATTGTTACCCTAAGAAAACAATGCTTTTAAAGATTAACAACTGAAGCGTAAGCTTCTATTTCTGTGATGAGTCCTAGAAAGCAGATTTTGGCCCGTAGAAAACCCTTCATCAGGGCAGCTCCCTTGAGGCAGACCGCAGTTGATTTCATCGCGCCTCAGTCTAGCATCCGGTGAGCTATTGATCTGGATGCAGACATTATAATCAAGTGTGTTCTTCAAAAAGTAACCACTAGCGCCGGTTTGGTCAAAAGAGTAAGCGATTGGACTTACATCCGCACGGCCGTGGTTCGACTCCGTCTAGCGATACGACTTTTGCTGCATCGCCGGGCAATCTTTGATAGCGGCCACTATCGCAATCGATGATAACCTATCAAGGATTTCACCTAGCAAATGCACGGATAGAACAAAAACACATTTTGTGACGAAAATTCTACGAAAAAACGAATGGTTGAAGCGTGAATTTGATGTAATGAACAAATGAGCTCTTGTTTTGGACAGCTCCTAAAAAAACGGTAAAGTTTACAAAGAAAAAGAATTTGTTTTTTTCTCCTCGCCAAAATCAGCTGTTGATCGATCCTCTCCTTTTCGATCGCGGGTTGTGCAGTTTTGCGCCGCTTTTGTCTGCAGTGTTAGGCAAATTGTTGTGTATCGTAAGTTACTCAGGAGCAACTTGCGGGAGTCTCCTCTGCGTCTCCTCTTTTCCACACTATTTGCATTTGTCTAATATCAGTTCACGTTCAGTTCAATTGAACGTGAACTGATGTGCAAGAGTTGACTGCAGCAGGACGGATGGTCAACTATCAGTTCACTCGCCGTGCATATAGTACGGGCCTTTATGTATAGCTGATCTGTCGATGGTGTGCCCACTATAATCATGAGCGTCCGTGATCAGCTTACAATTGGATTAGTGGATACACAAATAGAGATATCAGCCGGCTCTTGAACATTGCGAGCAAGACGTGCTTTCTGTGAAATACTTCAAAAAGTACTGAGGACCAGTAGAATCTAAAAAATTTTTTGTAATGCTCAGTCTAGTCAAAAAGAGTGGATAACGAAAATATTGACTACCGAAGAAGGAGCCGGATGGTGCTTTTACGGATTACTCTTCAAATAGCCTACCTGACAGCATGAAAACCATACGATGCGCCTTATTACAGTAACCCCATTCTACGGCGTTGCGACAATGAGCCCATTCTCGGGTAACTCGAATTGCCAAAGTAATGCATAGAGGTTAATGGAATATCAAGGAACCACGAGTCTTGAAGATGCAATTTTTTCGATTGACTGAAATTCGCTGAAATCAGTTCTCAAATAGAGAACGAGCCATCCGCACAATTTTGTAATCACGCTACTACTTGGATTTTCGCAACCTAGAGAGAGGGTCAAGTTTCAAGCAAAATCAAACAAAGTACAGAGTCCAAAGTCTTCTTCAAAGTTCTACTTCAGAAATGCATAATTATCAGGTCTTGGTCTTCCCCACCCTTTCACTGTAATCCAAGGACAAAAGTGCGTACCAAGACAGGTTTGCGTACTAGCGTACCTACGTGGATTTCTGCGTACGTTGCGAGAATGTGCGAATCGGAGAACGCCAGTGCGTGAAAGAACTGGATTGAGCGTCACGTCTTTAGCCTTTGTAAAAAAAGAATACGAGTAGAAATGGTACTACTTCTGATAAAGAAAATACGAGACTGCTCAAAGCTAACGACTTTCATCGAAATTTCACTGCGTGTAAATTCTAATAGAACTTTTCATCCTTGACCTTTTGGAGCACGAAGCAACGGTGAGAAATGTACCCAAAATCACTTACATGAAGGCGCAAAAAAATTTCATCTGAAGCTATTCACTTAGCCTAAAAATGTGTCCCATCTTCGAAATTTACTCACACACTTAACTCACTTACATTTCTACACTTTCTTCTTAAGTGAGTAGTGTTGGTACACAAAGCAATTATAGTATTTCAGATAATTAATTTGGCGATCCACTCCTTGCAATTTTGGCTGGGTTTGCCTTACTCAATTCTCCAAATAACCAACTCAAGGTTCTAAGGATGACTAACTAACTCAACTCAACCCATCTAACAACTTGGTTTCTAAGGAATAAGCTGATCATGAACAGTGCGCGGAAGTTTGGAAGAATGTGAAACAAAGATGTGCAAGCGGCATTTTAACGGTGACCGTTTGCCCAGGGCTTTGAGATCCGGGACTATTTTTGCCCTCGCGTAATCCACTTACTTCCTTTTTACAATTTAGCAATTTGTAACACACAAGGTTTTTTTTTGTATGATGGTATCTGTGAGCCTCCACTGGGTAATGAAAAGTAAAAATTGCTACATGGAATGCTGACCGAATTTTCCATGTAGCCCAAAGATATTCTGAGTAAAATCCCCAAAATAATAGAGGCTGTCCCATGACGGCATACTTGTGCTGACTCTATGCTGTTGTTGTCGCACGTAAACAGGCTTTGTTTCTGGCTGGACCATACTACGCATGTGCAGTAAAGGCGAGAATCAGGAGAGCTAGTCTGTACTATTATAGCTTCCAAGACTCATTCACAAGGGGTGCAAATTAGGAAAGAATGGAGATGATGATGACTTAATGCTTTTACTGAGGTACGATGTGCCAGAAATAAGAATAGGATACGAGCACTATGACCGTCTCCAAGCGCCACGGTAAGGAAGGCCAGTTTCCTGTCACATCCAAGAAAGGCCAAAATTGCTTAGAATAGCCTTCTCTGAAACTTTTTTAATGGTTCCTTCTTACAATTAAAGGCAGCACAGCTCAGTTGCAGCAGTTTGAGAATTCAATTCGTGATTCATCTGCCTTAACAAAGTTATTGAGCGAGATTGATTGGAGTAAGCTGTATATGTAAGTAGCGTGAATCAAATGCTAGTGGGACTTGTACTAAGTCACATATTCTTCTTAGCTATCAGAATGATAAAGACGTATTTTCGGGCTATGAATGCGCGAAAGCGCAGCTGAACTCAAACCGAATTCCCTCCGCATAATCTCAATTAGGGCAAACCTGTACAATGTAAGCCTCTTAGCGCGCCTGAATCAACTATAAAAAGTGTGAGCACAGTGGCAGTTCATCCCTCGAGGAATAGGCCTTCTCAGGTAAAACTTCATTTTCTCAACTTACCCCTGTATATTATTCGAGTAAGCAGTTTTTCGCTTTAGGATGCTCAAATACGCATTCGTCGCATTTGCGGTACTTGCTGCATGTGAAGCATTTTTGTTTCCCCCAATGATGGGTGGTGGAGGAAGTAGTTGTTGGTAAGTTGCCAGGTTCCAATTATCATTTTTTTCACCTAAAAATCAAAATTTAAGCCCTGCGCCAGCCCCAGCACCAGCGGCTCCCTGCTGCCCACCTCCAGCTCCACCACCAGCTCCATGTTGTCCACCTCCAGCTCCTCCTCCACCACCTCCAGCTCCATGCTGTCCTCCTCCACCATCACCTTGCGGAGGTGGAGGCGGCGGAGGTTGCGGAGGAGGTGGCGGTGGATACGCACCTCCTCCACCGGCGTATCCTCCTCGTAAGTCTTTATCTTACCAATATCAGGTTTCTAGAATCCTTTCCAAATAGAATTTTCAGCATCTGGCGGAGGTTATGCTGCTCCTCCAGGAGGCGGCGGAGGTGGTTACGCTATCGCTGGCAAGAAGTAAACGTTGCGTCGAGACCGCTTCGTGGAATATCTGTATGTAAGAAAATGAAAATAAATATTGCACTCATTTTTTAGCACAAAGAAACATGGGAGATGCGCTATTGCATCTTTTTGGGGGTGTCTGCAATTCTTCTTATGTGCCGGGTTGTCCACCTATCTTTAATCATATTATTTTTTGACCGCAATAAGTCATGTTTTCATTTACCCTAGATGAGTTCCGGAATCGTTCGACAGAGCAAACTAGGTGCTACAAAAGTATACCGAGCTTTGCGCAACCTTTGATATTTGCTAAGTTCAAAGCTGAATAAAAGGAGCATGCCCGAAAAATTGAGAAAAATCATAACTCCCCCAAAAAATCTTACATAGCTACTCGCACAAGCATTTATGTATTTCAAAAAGCTTGTAGTAACGAATACTGATGTAGGAATAGCTCAGCACTGCTATGACAAGTACTCTACAGTTTTCGACTTCTCAATTTCTAGCAGAGCATTTGAACCTTAGTATATATATGGAGGTCCTACTTGAGGTTTGGGCGAGTAGGAAATTTGAAGGACTTTTCAGGACGATTTCCCGATATTTCTGGCATTTGGAATCCTAGCTTCAGACTTTACATTTATGAAAGCTTCCGCGAACATTTCGATTTATTCTGTAAAATTTTGCGAGATTAAATGGTTATCAGAACCTATCTTAAATAAGTAAGGAATATGACTTAAAGGCAGCGTCCAGGCAGATCTGGACCTATGGGGCTTTTACATGGAAAGTACTTTTGGGGCCCTAACTAAGGCACTGCCCAAGCGGCAGCTCAGGTAGTGCTGTAATGGCTGAGATATACCCCTCGAAACTGGGCCCCGCGACCGTGTTTCGCATGGATTCATGGCGCAAAGCGTGGATCCTGGCGCGAAACTGCCATGAATCCATGCGAATACGTTCGTGGGGGCCAGTTTCGAGGGGAATATCTCAGCCATTAGAGCACTACCTGAGCTGCCGCTTGGGCAGTGCCTTAGTTAGGGCCCCAAAAGTACTTTCCACGTAAAAGCCCCATAGGTCCAGATCTGCCTGGACGCTGCCTTTAAGCTTGGCCATACTTTACCCGTGTTATCCGTGTTGCCGGTGTTACCAGTGTTACCAGTGTTACTCGTGTTACCCGTGTTACTCGCGTTACTATTACTAGTGTTACCGCTTTTATTGCTGTTGAATAGTGAAATGATACAAATACAGTCTCATTCTAGAACGCAGTCTCGGTGACTGGTGAGTTACACGAGTAACACGAGCAACACTGGTAACATTGAACACGGGTAACCCGGGTAACACGGGTAACACGAGTAACACGGGTAACGCTGATAACACCGGTAACACGGGTAAGGTATAGCCAAAGCCTTAATGCGGAATGAATTGATTCAGCGCCAGTCTTATGGACCAACTCAATAGTTGCATTTATGTTTTTCTGAGTTCCTTCTTCTCATAGTTCTTCTTCACCGGTTGCTGTCTGACCATCATATGGCAACTTACTAGGGAAGGATCGCTTGTCGAAGTGGCCTTTCCAGATGTTATGCATATGGATTCGAAGGGCATTAATCGCTGATTCAGAATTTTGTTCTTCCTGTCTGCGGAGCTCCTTTGAGCAACGAGCTATGCGTTTGTGTAGAGGAAATCTGAAGGCGAGGGAGGAAGAAAATCATACGCAGAAGTCTCCAGTTGGGCTCAAATGGGGTAAAGTCCGTCAGACCATTCTGTGCAAAGAATAATTTTTGTGTGCTATACCATACTCAAAATAATCCTATCTGCGGAATGTACAGGCTGTAACAATCAATTTTATCCTCATTGCCCGTTCGATTCTTGGCTTTTGAAACCGCCATAGCTCCTCATGCAGAGGTCCACTGCAGATGAAGAGGACAGATTTGGAATCAGCGCTTGGTGCCCTTCGAAACCATATGCATTTCAAGTTGAAAGGCCACTTCGAGGAATTGTTCTTCCCCTGTTAGTTTGATGCATCTTCTATGCAAATTGATCTCAAAGTCTGTTTTATTGACGTTAAGTACAATATTCGTCCATTTAAGCTGTCACTTACAACTTCAAGACTGTGAGAACATGAAACTTGCATGATAATGTGTAGTATGCTGTCTCAAAGAAATACGGCCAAAGGATTTGGATTTTCTTTTGTACAAATAAGACACGCATACTAATGTTTTAAATATACTTCTTCTACGAAATGCACTATCAAATAAACTTGGTTCCTTGCAGCTTTCGTGATCATTGTATCTCATTTTACGTATCTTTAGAAAATCTTCTACAATGCTCTATAAGTTTCATAGCAAAAACTTCTTTATAACTAAAATTAGAATACGCGAGTTTATAGTCACTCATCTCTCCCTTCTTTCATTTTTTTGGGTGGACTTGAGGGCTGCTTTGATTCTTTATGCAAATCAGCGACTCCAGTCAAGCATTGATTATTAGTGGAGGTCCGAGGGATTATTTTGAAGAGGGGGAGGGCACGGCAAAAATTTTTCGAGCGGAGTAGCATAGCCACATCCCTGCAGCCTATTACCAGCTTTGAGAAAAATTGAGAGTGGCGGTAAAGAAGAAATCTTTGTCACCCAAGAAAAATTCTTGCTCAGCTATTTTGAATTGCGGGAGTTTCGCACATTGATCTGATTAGTCAAAAATACTATAAAAGCAAGTCAGTTGCATTTGTGAGCTCTGTAATGAAGTATGATTCATTTCAAAAACTTACCGACCCATTTTTGAAGACTCCCTCATCTCGTACCAGAGCTGCTGGTTATAATGTAGGTGTTACAGTTAAACTCTCCTCATCAAAAATATACATTTATAATCGGCCAAAGATTGGTAGTTCTCCAGATGTAAATGGTAAGTTGTTAGCGGTTTGACGCTTTATTGGATGCTTCACGATTCTATAACAAAGTGTCCTTTGAGCGCTTAAAGACGACAAACCATGGAAGAAAGTCATTGCTTAAAAAATGGTTTGCTTTATTCGTGGCAATGGTTTGCTTAGTGCTTAAAATTTTGTTATCATAAAATGTTGATTAGAAGAAAGAGTATGAAAGAGTAACTTCTGGAGCCTCAAATATTTGGAAAGAGATGACAAAGTGCATCAATATTTATACTCTATATGAGGAAAAGTCTTACAATCGTTTTTGATAAAAAAACAGTTTTTAAAATGAAAAACTAAATAGTAGCATTTGTGCTGGACTGCGTAAATCAAAATGCGGCTTTCGTAGATTTCTCGAACTAATAGATCTATTCAAGCGCGAGTTGCAAATCGTTTGCTTTGAAAATTTATTTTATTTATCTCATTTAAAATGCTGTACTCATTAGACCTTACGCACTTTGTAAGACAAAAACAAATAGACATGTAGCAGATGTGAAAAAGGGAAGTAAAATCTCATCAAAAATCTCATTGCTTGAAAAATCCGATCGAAATGCTTGAGTGCTAATTCGAACGCTACAGAAGTCAATATTTCTGTCTGAACGCGATATAAACACAAGATTAAATTGATTGCACCTTGTCATGTATCTGCTAACATATATGGTTCTCGCGACAAGGATAGCGCGCAAGGAGCGCGTAACCTAGACTGAAACAGTCCGCATAATCTGCTGGTTTCGCTAGCATGGTTACGCTCCGATATGGAAAACCTGCATAGTTTGAGTTTTCTATGGATTAGCATGGTAGGAGTCAGTATAAAAAGTGCTAGCACAATTGCAATTCATCCCACCAAGGAACAACCATTCAAAGGTAATAGACCCTCATTGTATCTGTTTACTTCTCAGCTCTTTACTGAATAAACTATTTCATCCTTTAAAAAGCTTTAGGATGATCAAATACGCAATCGTCGGATTTGCGGTATTCGCTGCATGTGAAGCATTCTTGTTCGGAAGTATGGGCGGAGGAGGAGGAGGAAGCTGCTGGTAGGTGATAAGGTTCTAAGAAAACGTCATCTTCTGCTAAATCCCATTTTTCAGCCCTGCCCCAGCACCGGCACCGTGCTGCCCACCTCCAGCTCCCGCACCAGCACCGTGCTGCCCACCTCCAGCTCCCCCACCAGCACCGTGCTGCCCACCTCCTTCATCACCTTGCGGAGGCGGCGGCGGAGGATGCGGAGGAGGCGGCGGTGGCGGATATGCAGCTCCTCGTAAGTCCTTCTGGCATCTGCCCATTTTGATACATTTGAAATCGCCATTTTTTAGCATCTGGTGGCGGTTACGCTACTTCTGGTGGAGGTGGTTATCCTTCCGGAGGAGGTGGTGGCTATCCTACCGGAGGAGGCGGCGGCGGTGGCTACGCTATGGCTGGCAAGAAGTAAGCATCGCCTCGAGACGCGCTTCAAACACAGTTTCTGTACATGAGAAAAAGATTCATACGCTTTCAATAAATATTCTACTTCTAGTTGTGATCATAGCCAAGGTTCGTACAAAAAGGTGAGGGCATAAAATGTAAATATTTGTGGCCGTAACTTACGAGAAACACTGATAAAGGTTAAATAGAAGCAAAACGATAAGTGAGGCTTTCATTGTGCATGAAAGAAGAAGTTAACATCATTTCAAAATACGAACCTTTGCATTACTTTGTAGAGCAAAGCAAGCTGTACAAGAAGGCGTTCATGCTTTTAAACCAGCTTCATTCCGCCTCGAGTATAAAATCTAAAATCCATATCCTTCTTCGATACGGTTCTCTCATACTATGCTCACTTGTGAAAGAGAGCTCTACACTTTATTTAGACATGCATATACACCATCGTTGTGTTTCTTCTTTGATCACAAAGCAAGAAAAAGAAATTTTGATGCTTTTGTCAGAGTGGTGCTATTCTGTTCCCATAAAAGCTATTGTATCCCACAAGTGAAGCCAAATTTGATTTTTCTGAGAGCTTACTTTATAGAAAGCTGAAAATTTACGCTTGTACTTCTTCAGCTTTGTAAGTTATAATTCCTTATGTGGAAACAACACAGCATCACCTTGGCAAGAGCATGAAGAAATTTCACTTTTTCAATTTGTAGGCAGTAAGAATTACAGCAACGGTATATATGAATGTCTGTTGTGGAGTGTATATGCGTGATAGAGTGAGAGAACTGTAAAAGTTTACTGAACAAAATTATAGAGGTTTTCTTGAAAAATTCGTTGAGCAACTAAAACTTTTTGGATCTCCAAGTCCAGGTATGTCAAAGCTGGCAAAAAAGCATGAAGGTCCTCTTGTACAGCTTGCCATGTTTAGACAATGCCTAGAAGCTCTTTAGAAATAAATGATGGATGAGTTATTGCGGTTGGAATCAAATTTGACGGAACTGGACATTATACGCTTTGAAAATAGTAAGAGGGTAAAACTCAAGCGGACACAAAGAAAATTCGGAGAAACATAATAATTTTTACAGGACCGTTATTAGCTTCCTGATTGCGGGATTAATCTTGACTACTCATGCGTCATGCTGATGAACCCTGTTGTTCGTATGTAGCTTCTGACTTTTCCAGAAACACAAGAAAAGTGTAAAGGATCTATCCGCCAACCAGTGGCGGTCCGAGAAATTTTTTTCGGGGGGGGGGGGGCGACAAAAATTTTTTTAAAGAAGGTGCGTGGCGTTAGCCACGCACTCCGAAAAAATTTTTGGGGTGCTTCTCCAAATTTTTGCGGGTCTCTGACCCCTAAAGTCTTAAAAAAGGGGGCGTGGCGTTAGCCACGCCCCCGAAAAAATTTTTTTATAAGGCTAAAACGAATTTTTAAAAAATTTTAAAAATTATTTTAATTATTTTCAAGTGCAAACAAGTCGTTTGCACATTTTTACAACCCATATAGGTAAGTTTCAAAAAAATTCGCGACCCATTCTCGGGGGGGCGCGCGCCCCCCCCCCCTGCCTCCCCTCGGTCCGCCACTGCCGCCAACCTAATACCAGTGGCGTACCGAGGGGGGGGGGGGCGGGGGGGGGGGGGCGTGGCGTTAGCCACGCCCCCTTTTTCCAGATTTTAGGGGTTTCGTGTGTGAACTATGGAAATGACTGTGTAGCTTTACCAATACTTCTTAAATGCTTTGTAAAAAAAAGCCCCACGATAGCTGTGGTCATGCTGTTTCATCAGGCTGTTCTTTGCAGCGGGAAACTGACCGAGAATTCAAATTTACTAAGGGCGGCTGGCCAAGCCCCTCTATTTGGAAAGACTTCTACAATTGACTTTGATCGTGATAACATCTTTTTGCTGGCGGGAACTGAGAGAAGAGAAATACTAAGACCCTTTCCCAAATATTTTCACATAATTCATGTTGCCATTACACTTACCGTCTTCTATAATATGATTGGAAACTAAAGATTTTCCATATATGAACTCGAAACACAAAACAATACGGAAAGAGTTGTTCGTTCTATGTATGCAACAGCGTTTTGGTAAAAAGCCAGTCGTGAATTTTCGGCACATTCTTGAAACCACGTTTGATGATGACGACAAGAAGGGTAGAGCCAAGAGCGAGATGAGCAAGTTTTGACGACCACAAGTGCACTCTGCCGCTGCAATTGCCAAGTGTGTTCTCAGACAGTCAAAGGGATACCTCCGGCTGGGAAATGGCGCGAGTCTGCCACTTCGCGCTCTAAAGCGCTCCGGAGCCCTGCCATTTCACGCATTTTTGTGCTCCGGGGCTCTACCAAAACTGGCGCACCTCTGGAGCAGAGATTTGCGCGTCCCGGAGAGGGGTCCCATTCGTTTGCTTGTGACGTCACCGTGACGTCAATGGGACCCCTCTCCGGGACGCGCAAATCTCTGCTCCGGAGGTGCACCAGCTTTGGGAGAGCTCCGGAGCACAAAAATGCGTGAAATGGCAGGGCTCCGGAGCGCTTTAGAGCGCGAAGTGGCAGGCTCGCGCCATTTCCCCGCCGGAGGTATCCCTTCGACTGTCTGAGTTGAAACTGTGTGCCAAGTGTATTGTAATATGCAAGCGTGTGATCGTTCCAATCACACCTTCCATCTGTGTGGTTTGTTATACTTCCGATGTCTTCTCAAATTTTTGTCAAGTCATCTTCCACATGTGTTTTCACTTGAAAAATTACTGTAAGAGCAAGCCTGACCTCGCGCGAGGGGAGTTTCCGTTGCGCATAGCAGAACATTAAAGTTTTTTATGCTCCGAACAAATTTCAATAAGATGAAAAGTTGCTTTTGAGCAATTGCTTTCATTTTTTTCTTCTAAATGAGACCGCAAGGGCAAGCTTGGTCTCCAGGGGAAAGCTTAATGCTATTCAAGGCAGAGGAATTTTTGTACAACTTATAAGAAGTTTAGTGGAAATGTCGTTTATGAAATGGGGCGAAAAAATTGGCACGGGACGAGATTTGAAAGCTGCTTTCTGAAACGGTTCGTATTGGATTATCGAGTCTATCAGATTGCAAGCTATGAGTTACAAAGCTGGGAATTAGAAAGGGAGCATGCTTGTCGCAAAAATTGTTCATTTTCAGAATCACCTTTTGCCTTCTTTGACTTTATCGACTTCCTTGAAGTTTGGCTTGGAGAGTGGGAGTGGCACGCAGTGGGGGAGGGGCGGGAGAGAAGCGAGGTAAGCAAATATGCTGAGGTTTCCCAGTAGTGACTGAGCTTCCTGATTTTAAGCTGGAATGAAATGTTTTTGCGGATAGATTGCTTTGAGTAAGTTGTTGTCGTTCCAGAAAAGTTTCTGAGTAGGAGGATTGGCCTTTGTGTTCGTAGTAAAACTTATCATCATGGGCAGTCCAGCGCTTCAGTAGAGCAGATAAATCAGCTGATGAAGAGAGACACTAGGTATCATGATCGGATTTTTACAAAATTATAGAAATTTCTCAAAAAACACAGAGATATCTCACAGAAATGGTTAGAAAATTTGGATTATAATACCTCTATCCTTGATTATTTGAGACTAGCTGGCTTACCCGGCTCCGCCGTATGTTCCAATAGAGAATTCCATTTCTTAACCGATCCGAACCAAACTTGGCACACATACATTTCGGGCCAAGGCGGGTGTCACAGTCCACTTTTCGTTATCGATTGATGTCGATTTTATCGATTTTTTTGCAAAATTTGAGCTAGTGGGCTGGAATTTGGCAGGGAGGTGTAATCGAGCATGGTGATCAGCATGCTCGATTACCCCCCTGTGCCAAATCCCAGCCCCGTAGCTCAAACTTTGTAAAAAAATCGATAAAATCGATACCGATCGATGACGAAAAGTAGCCTATGACACCCGCCGGGGCCCGAAGTGTATGTGTGCCAAGTTTGGTCCCGATCGGTTCAGAAATGGAATTTTCTATTCGGAACATACGTACAGACAGACAGACATACATACAGACATACAGACATACAAACAGACATTCAGCTTTATATATAATACTAGCGACCCTACGGGTCGCTAGCAAGTGGGTCGGGGCAGATACATATAAGGGCTTAGGTTTGACTAAAAATATTTCTAAATAAGTTTCCTGTTCCTTTCCTGAGAATATTTTTGCGAAGAGCATTCCACAAAAGGAGAACTGCTCGAAAAAGCGATAATCTCGATCTCCACAAATCATTCAGCATTTCTCAAATTATTTTTATCTCGTTTACACGCTTTTCATGCAAAATTCCCTCCTCACAGAGACATTCAGATAACCCCCCCCCCCCACTTTTCTACCCTTTCAAAGAGAATTTGCTCTTTCAGTTCTTCTCAGCAAGTTCCATAAAAGATCGTTAAGTAAGTAGCAGAACATATGTTTTGGAAGTAGAAATACATCATAATAATTATGTGTATTATAAAAAACACTTTTCTCTCAGAATCAGTTCCGACAGCAACGAAATCAGTCGTCTAAGAACTTTGTCAAAGAATCCTTCAATTTTTTCGCCAAAGGAATATGAAGCTTTACTACATAAGTAGATCCTTCCCCGAAAAGCACACTACTGAGCCACCTAAAGACCGTCAATTATAAGAACTGCATAAATGTACAAAAAATTTCTTTCCCTGTCCGATCAACTTGCCCTACGTGCCGTTTACAAACCAGTTATCTATTTGAAAGAAAGTTCATGCCCTATGTGCCGCTTGAAGACCGTTAAAAAATTACAAGAACTGCCATAACATACAAAAATCTGTTTCCCTGCCAGATCGAGTTGCCCTACGTTCCGCTTACAGACCGACAGTAACTATTTAAAATGAAAGTTTATTCCCTACGTGCCGCTTGTAGACCGGTAAAAAATTACAAGAACTGCCATAACATAAAAATTCTGTTTCCCTGCTCGATCGGGTTGCCCTACGTGCCGCTTACAGACCGAGAGTAACTATTCAGAAAGAAAGTTTATGCCCTACGTGCCGCTTGAAGATCGTTTAAGAATTATAAGAA